GACTTTGTCCGGAGATTGAATCACAATAACATTACTGGTAGCTTCATAGCATTTTCAACACAAATACGATACACGAGACAAAGGGTTCAAGTGGCAGAAGTGTGGAACTGCAAAGAGGGAAATAAGAATACGAAGGGTGCAGCTTACCGTTTTTGCTACCTGAGCAGACAACATTCACGGCAGCAGGTTCAAGAGCTGAAAGCGGGCCAGGATGTCGGTTATCTACTTCTGTGCCGGTCTCACTGCTGATGCAGCCAGCGTTTTGCTCTTCGATTTCTTCAGACTGCTGGCATCATTCAAATAAATTCGAAGTAATATGCAATCATTATCTAAGATTGAAAACTAAGAATACAGTTTATCTCTAGAAACTAGAGATGTGATAGACAATAAACTGAAGAAAATCGATTTAGATACATCTTCAAAACCTTCTCTTATGTATAAATCGTAGCAGTGAGTGAGTACCTGCCACTTCCTTCTCCAATCATGCGCCAGGTTGTCAGAAGATCGGTCTAAGTCACCTGAGCTACATGAGATATTATTATCTTGATCCACCGGAACCCTTTTGTTGTGTGCTGCTGATGTTGTGGTTGCCGTACCAGATGAGGGCACCGAATTCATCAAACTGGATGTAGGGCTAGTAGAAGTCCTCTCTATGATGATATTGCAATTGGATGACTCGATTCGACTTGTCAATTCCTTAAGCTTTTTTTCCAAAATAGCACTCAGAGCATCCCCACCGATTATATTGAATCCGGGAGAAGAAAATGCCGAGCTTTTCAAAAATAGCGTATCCCGATCACCAGAAAGATCGGTATAAAAGCTGCTGCTGCAGCTGTTTTCTGCAACTTCACTAGTGGAAGATATGTCAGGCATGGATCTTGATAAGGGGGATGTAAATGTAAACGAAACAACATCCGAGCTTGTTTTCTTTACATGTGCATCCTGCTTCAAGTGCCCATCAGTTGTAACATTACATTTTATGGACCTTTCACCACCATTTGTAGATGAAATATCAGGAACGGTTTGTTCAGACGGAAGATCCTCATTTACAGGGCGTTTCTTTCTAGGCAAATTCTTTCTTCTAGACATCGGGACCCCCCTTCCAGTATCGGTCACCGCTGAGACCGTCTTCCTGGAGTTAATGGTCCTATTAGACCCTGATGTACCATTTATGCACCTCCCGTTTCTACCTTGCTGGTCCGAGGTTGAAATTTTAGATGTTGAGTTATCTCTATTGGATATGCAATTCTGCTTCTGATTATTCTGCCTCAGCACACTGTTAATCCTGTTTGCTGAGGCTCTTTTCTCCGCAGTCCTTTGTACATCTGACTGGCTTGTAGAGAACTGTTTTCTTTTAGCATCATTCCTCTCCTTCTGGTTCACAAAACTTCCATTAACACTCGACGATGACACTTCTTTCCTCTGAACAATAACCCTTGCTTGTTCTGCAAGTGAGACTGATTTTCCCTTATTACTCGAACTGTTAGAAACGCCTTTTTCTGAGTCCTTAGTTATCCTGAATGTTGGTGAATAATCTGATTTACTGCAACTCTACTTGTCCTTAAGCTGTACTTTCAAAGGCTTCACCATACTCTCACTAGGCTCATCAGCTCTTTGAGGCCTTGATACTTTATGTGCAGCTTCAATTTTCTCTCTCAAGTTCCGTACTTTCAAAGGAACAGAAGAGGACCCAAATGATGGCACTTTGTCTTTGCAAGTTGCCCGAGGACTAGCCTCAATAATCTTTGCAGCCGCCTCCATTATATAAGCTGCATTCTTGGTCGGGATGAACGCTGGACTCCTGATAGGAGACAAAAGCTTATGGTGAGTGATTGGAATTGGCTTTGCTGATTTTGGAGGCAATATTTTAGTCTGAATTCTCTCGATTGCTCGGTTCTGCACCTTAAGAAACCTTGGTTCAATGGGATTTGAAGACGACCTGTCAAGCTTGTTAGAGGTGTCAGCGTAGTCCGTGGGATGGAAGACCCTGAGAGAGCAACACCCCGAGAACGGGATGGAAGAAGACTCGGAGACATTCTGTGTTGGCAATGAGTCCAACCACATAAGCCTAGCAACAACTCCAGGCGCTCTAGATCCATATCCTTCATCACTAGTCACCGATGAAGAAGAATTAAAATCACAACTTCGCCTATGATTCGAAGTGGCAGTGTACTCATCCCTCGCCGTCTGCTAACACAAGTAAACAACACAATCAGAAACTAATATGCTACCCGGATAACAGAAGAGCAAACCGAAGATCAAAAGGGGGAAAGGGAAGAAATTTCCCACCGTAAGAGGCTGCGGCGTAGGCTTCGCAACATGTTCCTCGGGTTTTACTCTCTTTGATTCTTCTATAGTCGAAATGCAAACAAATGGGGCATGAATTACAAACATGTAGATAGCAAAGGGAAAAAGGAGACATAAAACACAACAGTAATACATGCATATTCATATAGATGAATCTTTAATCTCTTTTTCGACAGCATAACCGGCCAAGTGCTGTTCTTCCACTGGCAGCGATTATCCGTCCAAACCGCCTATAGCCGACATAACCAACTTGTTTCCATCAACAATAAAGAACATGAATCATGAATGTACCTGGTAACTCGGAATTGTTGGGGAACAGCTTCTTCCTAGATTTACCATTCCAATCAAACAATTGCAAAAATCCTCCCTTAGCACGTTTCCTCTCAACCTCCATTATCTTATCTATAAAAATCAACATCAGTCAAAGATTTAAACCCAGAAAAAGCAAGAAAAAATTCAATTATTTACCAAACAAAAAAAGACCCTAAAAATTAATAAAAAACAAGTATTGCACTTTTGTTCAAGGGAGTTGATGTGGAGACAATGGCTCAGAAAAAGGAACAAAATTTAAACTTCAAATTCAAATACCATACCTGGTTTTGCTCACATTGCTCATCAGCTAACAGACAAGGAGAGGCTATGAATATCAGATTCAAGCAAGTGATTTGATGAGAGAGAAACAAGCGTTTTCATGTATAACATGCCAAAAAATGTGAATCAGATCTCCATGATCCAAGTACCAAGCTCCTTCCTTGTCACAATGGGCTTACATAAAAACAGCTAAACCTAACTTGGTATTCTTTGAACTGAAAGAAAGAAAAAAAGCTTCAATCTTTTAACCATTACTGGTGAAGAAATGGAATTGCTTCAATCTTTTAAACCATTACTGGTGAAGAAATGAAATTTGGTGACATTAGCAGAGATAAAGATACAGATTTGGTTGATACCAGAGATTTGGAAGAACAAAGTCAATTTTAAAAAATAAATAAACAACCATAGGAGTGTTTAACGTGGAAGAAATGACTGGTTTTGAGCATTAAATTTTGAAGAAGCAGTGATTTAAAGACCCAATGCTTTGTTTGTGAAATAAATCAATTTAAAAAGGGAAGAAAGGGTGGGGGGGAAATGATGTCTCGGTCATGTAACTTTCCTACTTTGTTAGCAATGCCATGCATGCCCACATGGGGGAGTTTCACCATTGGCTTAGGACCTTCATTATTGGTTGGACTCCACTTGCACCACCAGGTCCACCACTTCCACTACTTATTTTTGGCTTATTATATAAATTAATACTTGAAGTTGGTAATTTTTCTCAAGTTAGTCACTCCATCAACAATTTAAATTGATGACAAGACATTGATGTACATCGTATAGTAACCTAATAGGTTGTTGAAGTACCACATAAGAATCATGTACCAATTTGAAAAGAAAGGTTAATTAAAAAATAAATATTAAATTTATGTTTTTTTATTTTTGTTTTAGGTGTTGAATTTTTTTGTCTAAATAAATAGCCAACGTTTATTCTCTTATCATTTAAGGTGTATGATTATTTAAAAATAGTTAAAATTATATTATTTAATTTGTACTTGATGTTGGTATTTTTTAATTTATTTAAACTTTATTTCAAAAAACTAAAATTGTTAATATTTTAAAATCCCTAAATTACTCAAAATCTCGTAAATCTCATATGTCATCATCAAATCAACTGCCACCTGTCATTCTTTCATCGATCATTCACTTCCCTTGTCATCACATATCGTCATCTAAAATAAAATAATCACACCTCTTAGCATCTAACCCCATCACACAAGATTTTTTTCACCCAATCATCTTCTGTTCATTATTGACGATGAGATTATATCGTTATCCAAATCAAAATTAAGTCGTTTGAGCCTCCGCTTGATGCCTGATTTATGACCATTTAAGATAATTTGAGGATTGAAGGATTTTGAGATTTTTAAAAAAAAACTATTAAATTTAGGATTTTTTTTAGAAATTTGGTTTTTTGGGAAATTAATGTAATCTTTCAAACAATCATCGGTTGCAAATTTTTTTAACCATATTTGACAAAATGACCTTAAATTAATTTTAAACACTTTAAATGGTTAACAAAATAAATGTTAGACACCTACTTTGACCAAAAAAACATTAGGCACTTAAAACAAACAAGAAGTATAATTTCAAGATTTATTTTTCAATTAAGCCAAAGAAAAAAAAAACAAATTTAGGTACTGATTCAAGACAAATCAAAGTTCATATATCAATTCAAAAAAGTTACCAACTTTAGGGACCAACCTGTGCAATAAAACCTTTATGTTTTTTTATCTTCTACTCTAAAAAACACTTTAACTTGATTAAATAACTTAAAACGAATAAAATATTAAAATTGAATTGTGAAAATGTAACGAAAAACCTCACTCACGTGATGGGTTCCTACTTTACAAATTTAAATTTCCTTTCTTATTTTCTTGTTCTTCCATTTGCTGTAGCCTTTGGCCCTTTGCAAGTTTATATTTGCAAAGCTCCAAAAGGTTAAATCATACTGCCAATGGAGGAACTGTGTTTTTCCCTGTAAGAAAACAAAGAGATTAACCTCCAACACCATTTAATTAGTCAGATGAAGCATGCAGTTGAAAATTTGCTCGATACAAGTCTGTTTATTTCATGTTGTTAAGATTCCTATCCCAAGTTCAGACACTAAAAGATCATTTCTTCATAAAAAAACTGAAAGGTAAGGAGACAAAATTCGAAAAGAAGTACTTGATCGATATTCGCCTTCGTCGTCCCCCCACTCTTTATCATCATGCCCTCGTTACATCAAAATCGGGTTTGGTGATTAGCTGCAACGTACACTAACATTCATACCTACGGTGATTAGGAAGTCCTGAGGCAATTATCACACGGGTTCGAACCATTTTTACAACCTTTTCTGTCAAAAGACTCTCCAAAGTGTTCGAGTAAGATTTTTCTCCGGCATTCATCCTAGAAAAGATGACTTCCGGCATAAGAAATAAGTTATGGTATCAATAATAAAAGAAATGAGAAAGGGTCGCTGACAAACCTTAAGTTCACAGTACTCTCGCATTTTCTGAGCTTGAGCCATGGATGTTTTAAAGCTTTGGCTCTTGCAACCTTGTCCGTTTCGTAACATGCATACAACTCGACTGAAATCCTTCTTCTGGTATAAAGCAATGCATACAGCACTGCCATTATCTCTTCCAGCCCTCCCAGACTCTTGATAATAACTTTCAATTGATTTGGACATTGTATTGTGGATGACGAATCGCTGTAAAGAGTTTTTATAAGGAAAAGAATAAATAGACTGTATAAAAATAATGGAACGAAAAGAAATATTTTACTATCAATCACCATAAATTAGGTTCAGCTATTCAGATTACAATGATGTATACATTCAATCAGCTAGCGAAAACAGTATTTTGGTAACATGTTAGAAATCCACTAGACTGGTTTATGAAAGTGATTGTATAAAGTAAGTAGTTTTCCCGTATAAATCAACCACCAGACTAAACCTTTTCTTCACCTAATGCAGTGTCTAGTATGGTCCAATCACACAACTGGAAATGAGCAAAGCCTAGTTTTGAAATTTATAGACATTATAGAGATAAATTTTAGATAGATCTTATCTGGACTTACAACATCTGGCTTGTCGATTCCCATCCCGAAAGCAATAGTTGCGCATACAATCTGGACCTCTCCATCAAACCATTTCTTCTGAACAGTTACTCTTTGTTGAGAAGCCAAACCAGCATGGTAATACACTGTTTTAATCTTGCACTTATCATTCAGAAAATTTGAGACCTCGGCACATTCATTTTTTGAAAGGCAGTATACAATTCCACACTGATTCTTAAAACGATCTTGCAGAAGCTGACCGAGTTGTTTTAATGAATCCTTAGCCTTCCCAATCACCTCGTACTTCAAATTGGGTCTATCAAAGCTTGTCTTGAGGACTAAAGCATTGGAAATTCTCAGAGCTTTAAGAATATCCTGCAAAGCACCAATGGTGGCAAAAGGAAAAACTTTATATTTATTCAAAAAATAAAAGAAAAGTCCAACTTAATTTAAGTACCTCACGAACTGAATGGGTGGCTGTTGCAGTCAATGCCGTCACTGGTAAATTAGGAAAATGCTGCTTAAGACATCCTAGTCCTCTGTAGTCTGGACGAAAATCATGACCCCATTGGCTGGAAAGAATTTAAAGGCCGTAATTTTCTTGTTATAATCTATTAATTCAACAGATTACATAGTTAAATGATTTTCATTGCTAAGACACATATCTCCTAGGAATATGGTTTCCCTAGGATTTATTGCTTAATATGGTTAACTTAATGCTAGTCATAACAAGCTTCGTAGGATGCAAGCTGGTTATTCTAAAAAACTCACTCATGATTCCTCATCCAAAACAAGAAAGCTCATACCAACTATAGAATGCTTACATAATTCGTTTATGGAGAGAGCACGTTGCAATCAGTGAACTTAGGTGACGAGTTTTGAAAAAAAAATTACAAGAGAAAATATGAGGCTAGAAAAGTTCACAAGTTATGTACCACATGCAAATCGTACATGGAGGAATAGGGTACATGTCATATATTCTAAGAGTAAAATCAAATATCATTGTATGCATGTCAAAGCCATCAATAATAACCCAAATTTCTGTAATATAAACTAAAAGAAAAGGGCAAACCTCACACAATGTGCTTCGTCAACGGCAAAACCTGCCAATTTTCCCTAATGAGAGAAGAAATTACATTAGCAACTGAAAATTTCAAAGTTTAACATGCTTCAAATATAAATAGTGAGAAGGTAAAACTCACCTTTCTATGCAAACATTTCAATACCTCAAGAAATGACTGGTTTCCGACAACCCTTTCTGGAGTCACATATAAAAGCTTGCATGATGGATTATCTTTGCTACAAGCATGAAAAGAAAAAATAAATAGGAAAGAAAATGGCTAGACCAAAAACTTTTACAGTGATCAATGTATCTGTAAGTTAACAAAGAAAAAAAGAAAGATATTTTCCAGTCAAAAATTAACTTGCCTTAGCTCATGCAGGACAGCCGCTGCTTGAGAAGCAGTTTGTTGAGAATTCAAAAATGTAGCGGGTATTCCAAATTTAAGGTTCAGTGTAACTATTTGATCCTGAATTAGAGATAGCAAAGGAGAGATGACCACTGTAACACCAGGCTTTAAAGTCGCTGGAAGCTGAACAAAGCATAAGATAAATCACAATGTTGTAAATAAAGAATAAAACAAGTCAAAACTAGCCAAAACAAACAAATAAGCAGTAAAACTAGAACGGATGAAGCCAGTCTTCCCTATCCAAGTATCCAAATAAAACCCCAGCATTATCCAAGTGTAGATTCTACTATGTTTAGTTTGTGCTTTGATATATAAGAAACGATATAAGTTCAATATTCAATTCAGCTGTAAAATCCAGATTTCTATGTTCACTTCGGAAAATATGCAAATTTAATAGAACCTAGTACAAAAATACCATCTCTAAAGATTTGACCTGATAACATAGACTTTTACCACCCCCGGTGGGCATGAGAATGAAGCAATCTTGTTTTGCCAGAGATGCTTTACAAGCCTGACGCTGCAATGGTCGAAATGATCTGTTACCAAAGATAACTACATTTGCTAATTCAACATCATCCAGAGCCTGCAATTCATCATAACTTAGAGTCCCATTCCCACCCATTGACTTGCTGAAGAACTCCTTTTGACCAGAAATTGATGAAAATGAACCTTCAACCACACTGCTCTTCGAGCCCTACAAAATCAAGCCAAGTAATTCAGTGGTCTCAACTTTAACAAGAAACAAAGAATTGATATACTAAAAAATCTGTATTGAGATCTTCTTACCAAACGACTGCTTTGATCCTGACGTGAAGAGAGGGTGGGAAAACCCTTTTTCTTTGAAATCCATGCGTCCAAGTTCTTATCGTCACCGGAAGAATCCAACTCCATCAAATTTGTTTGCTTTCTTCGTTTAGGTGAGTCATCTACGATGTTGATGCAGTTTCCCACATTGGTACTACTGTTACATTTAGTATTGGCAAGGACATTTTTGTCAAGCAAATTGTTCAAAGCTCCACAAGCTTCTGATTCCACAACCTGTAAATCATCATCCCAATCCTCACTATCTTCCATTGTTTCAGCCAACGCCACCAGAAAATCATCTCCACAATGCTCCACGGTAATGAAATCTCGCCCATCATCACCTTCATAAATTCAGTCAATTTTAAATTGAAACTTTATTTAGCAGTTTAGTATTTACCATTTAACATCACTAAGAACCCAATTTTCAATGGAATGAAATTTTTCAAAAAAAATCGAAAAAATAGTTAAAAAATTAACCGAAAATCAGGTAAAAATAAAGAAGAAATTAGGAGGAGTACCATAGAGAGATATCAAACGATCTAAGCTCCTCTTTGCCGATCGTTCGTCAAAGCCGAACTCGAGAGCCAAACTTATCAACCGAGCTTTTTCCATCTCAAAATCGTGACCGTCCATTTCTGGGTTGACGAGCGATGAATTTTGGGAGATTTTTGTTTTGTTTTTTAATTGAAGAAGTTGACACTGAAATCTCCCGCGCTATTGTGCTTTGAAAACCTGGAATATCCGGCGCCTTATCTCTTGTTAAATATATAGACAAAAGTTGAAGCCCATAATAGGACGCCGTGTTCTTGTCATAATTTAATGGTCAAACTTGTTTTTAGTTCCTCTACTACGCTTAAATTATGGATTTGGTCTCTATATTTTAATTTGATATATTTTAATCGCTTTACTTTTATATTTTATTGGTTCGTTCAAATAGTTAAAAACTTATTCAATCTTCATAAATTATATATTATATAAATAAATAATTATATTTATTAAGTATAAGAATAAATTGATGTGTTTGTTTGTTTTTAATGTTTATAATAGAATCAAAATAAAAAATTGATGGATACAGTTAAACCAATATCAAAGATTCGTATATACTATTAGAAAAATCAATTTTATATACCATATTATTAAATGTTAACTAAAATTTATGTTTTAATATTTATCCCAAATAGTAAACACATAGTTGTCATCCTATAAATGGTAGTCTGAAGGATTATTTTAAGGGCGTAAAAGGATGCTTGTCTTAGACATGAATATATTATCTAAGCTTTAAGATATTGTAGTTTTTTTAATAGTCTGGTGTGATTATAAGGTAGTATATGTTCATAATCTTTTTTAAACACACACTCTATTGACGCAACTGCTCGAACCTAGGATTTTAAGGCAGACCAACACTCTCTTTAATTATTGAGATCACTCAATGGGTTCAGACGTTGTAGTTGTTAAATGTTTATTTAGTTACCATCCTAAATGCCATAAGATAAAATTAATTTATTTATGCTTTGCGGGTGATTTAATGATCTTTGCTGAAGGTAAAGTTAATTCAATGGTGAAAAATTGATGTGGTCTAGAAGAATTTTATTTGCTCTCATGTCTTAGACTCAACTCCTCTAAAAATGGATTATTTTGTTATTTGGGTGTTCCTTTAGTCATTGAGAGGCTCTCAAAGAAAGATTGCATGCCTTTGATAGAAAAGATTAATAGTTGATCAACTAGGCAACCTAGCTATGTTGGAAGATTGACACTATTATATCATGGATGGCAGTTTCGAATTTGTTACCTACTATGGACAGGCTTTGTAATGTTTTAAAATTTTAATATTATATTTAGTTCAATTTCAATATTCTAATATTTGTTATCATGCTTAGTATTAGTATAATTACGAGTAATAGAGGATTATGAGAAGCCAAATTGATCCTCTTAGCAAGAACTTGTCAAATGGAAGGATAAAGACTAAATTAGAAGAATTTTAAAATTTGAAGGGTAAATTGATAATTTATGAAAATAAGAAAAATTTCAAATTTAGAGATATTTATGTCAATAAATGGATGGAATTTTTCTTAGTGGTTAAAAGAATATTGTTCTCCCTAGAGGTCTCGAGTTTGAATATTTACGTCTACAAAGTATGTACATTATCAAGACCTAGGAGATATTATGAACAAATACTATCTTGTAATCACTCAAAAATTAAAGAGAGAAATCCACGAGGGAAAGTAAAAGAAGTGAAAGCAAGGTGTGATTGACAACGTTGGAACTTGAAAAGGCGAAAAACTATGGCAGAATTCATAGTCTAATCATAAAAACCTTCATCCTCTCATTAATCATACTAAAACACATCACTCACACCCCTCTTGCCTTGTCTTCTCTGCTGCCTATGCGCAGCAGACAAACCCTTTTTCCTCTAAAGAAAAGCTCTTAAAAACTACAATTTCTTTTTCTAAACAAAACCAATGGAAAATTTAAGCACTTTTTTCCCTTCACCTCTGGATATTGCCAGCAAAATATTGCAATGCTCTTGCTTTATAGCTCATCCTGCACGAAAAAGGACTATTAATTGGATCAATATACGTAATGTACACTAAATACTAATAACATTTGATGGGCGAATAACTTACATGGTGTACTGCATCTTCCTCAGCACTGTCTTTGATGGAGTCCGACTTGGTATCGGAATCTGACTCACTTCCTTCAGCATCACCGCTATCTTCATCCTCGTCCTCGGCCTGAAAGGAGGTTAGTTAGCACCACGGAAACAAGAATAATATAGGAAACAGTGAAATCATATTCTTAAAAGGCAAGTTGTATGCTTACATCAGAATCAATAGGGTCATCCTTCGATTCCTGAATATCACGTTTGATTAGTTAGAAAGAAAACTCAATAATCGACAAATGAGACACTTCTTAGTTAAAAACAATACCTCTTCCTCTTTCTTTTTCTCTTCCTCCTCAAATGCTGCCTTCTCGGCCTGCAAAAGGCAATAACATAGCCCAACAAAGCCAACTATGACATTTATATTCATTCAAAATACAGAGATGCACATACATCCTTCTGCTTGCCCCATGTTTCTTCAGCTACTTTCTTGGCATAATCCGCATCATCAGCAACTAAGATGTTATCAAACAGTGTTCCGGATTTCACCTGACAAACCGCAAACATTTATCTTGTTATAGTTCTAAAATAGCATCGAAATAAAATCGGAGGAATAGAAAGAAAGTGGCGAGAGAATACCTGCCACAGTTCAATACCAACATACTTCAAGTTGGGGAAAACATAGAGATTGGGATCATCCTTGAAATCTGTGGGTTATAGAAAAACATGGTAATAAGTAACCTACAATGTTGTTAAGAATAAAGAGAAAAGGGCTTGAGAGGAATGGAATAGCAATAACCAGGGATGTCAATCATTGGTGCCTTCCATTTTCCCTTGTAGTTAGGGTTCTTGATTTTCTGCAGTCAGAGGAAACTTTGCTTACATATTATTGATTCAAAAATTAATATTAAAATGCTGCATGTAGATAACGATTTAACAGACCTTGGGCTTCCACGGGCCCTTGTATTCAGGATTGGGAATGGTTGGGACTGTCCATTCACCATCTTCTTCATCATCCCAGTCTTCAGGCTGGTGCAGATGAATTTAACATTAATCTTTATTATAAAGGAAGTCATACAACTTCATAACAAAAGCATCCTAAAAAATTAAATGACTACCTTCTTAGCATCAGGGTCTGGAATCTCTTTGGGAATGTCATCATAACCCTATAGTAATTAACACACCAGAGATTAGCTTGATTATGCATTTTCAGGCAGTATATAGAAAGAACTATAAGAGAAGGTTATTACCTCGGGCTTCTTATCATCGGGATCGGGGATGTATTCCTTGTCATCCCAATCTTCAGGCTGACGCAAAATACTTAGGTTGTACTAAAACTTCTATGAGAATAAAATAAACCAAAAAGTCATCGATTGAAACTAGGTTTGCCCAATTACCTTTTTGGCCTCAGGATCCTTGATTTTCTTTGGTGGGAGAAGATCCCAATCGGTGTACAAGCTGCCAGTTTGTTTCTCAACATTATCAATAAGGATGCTGTTTGTAGCGTCTGGACGGAGAATGAATGTATAAACGTGAGTGAGTTGGTCAGTCTCGCAAGGAACTTCCTTTTTGATCAAGTGGTTTGTCCCGTTGTAGGTTAGAATAGCATGTACTTTCTTGGTGCTATAGCCGCAGATATCAGGCCCAAACATGATGCTGCAACCAACCAAAATAATAAAAAATCAGTATATCTATAACAACAATATCATTTAGAGATACGAGTAGAGTAAGTTGAATCACGGGATGCAACAACCTGTATGGGGTTTCACCACCAAATTTTTTCTGGTCAATGTCGCCGCTGATCAACTTCATGTAGCCACCACCACAATCAAGCTTCTGCTCATGTTTGACAGAAAATTGGAACACTAGAGTCTTATCCTTGTTGCTGACTTCTGGGAACTCTGCTGAAATAGCATAGAACCTGTAGTCTTCACTAGTTTGAATACCTGTACAAAATGAAACGCAATTAGTAACTAACTTGAAACAAGGAGTTAAAAGATAGCTTTACGAGAAAATTCCCAGAAGGTTACCTTTGTCATTAGGATCTCCATTCCATTTTCCAGAAGTGTAATTCCACTCTCCGGCCATGTTATCATCTCTTTTCCAGTCAGATTTTACCCAACGACTTTCCCATCCCTCTTTAGTTTCACAACCCGGGAAAAAAGGGAGCAAAATAAACTAAAATTAGATGAAAATATACTATTTGAAAACAGTGAAACGTAAAAAAAAAGAGCAGAGTTAAAACAAATGTAGCTTCCCTTTCATGATTCTCTATAATTTTTCAAAAAATGGATACAGAATCGTAGGAATCTATATAGGCATTGTACAGTATCGTATGTACTGTTTCTGCTTGACTCCTTAATTTTAAAATTATTTCTGTCTAAGAATAAACAAACACCCACTCAATTATTAATAAACAATACATAATAAAAATAAACGCCAAATACTAATATTCATTATTATTCCATTTTGATTTCCTCCAAAACTGAAATCAATTGGAACGCTAGATACTGTAGCATTCTCAGCCATTTCTTGTAATAATAAAACCAGGCTTCTAATACTAACTACATTTACAAACATATGTAAAATCAAATACGCATATCTAATCGAAGTAATTGAATTTTCAAACATAATTAAGCATTTGAGTAAAGGAACAGATAAAAAAACAACCGGAACGCCTAATTAAACACAGAAAATCACTGATCCGTTCAAATCAGACCAAAATGAAAATCATAAATCTCTATCAAACAGATTCAAACGACGAAAGCAAGTCATCTAGAGGTTCACATACAACGGACAGATTCAGTAAGAGAAAGCGGAGGAACGATGAGTCAGAAAGGATTTACCGTCAAAGCGTTCTTCGAATAATACTTTAGCAGAGGCAATGGCTACGAGAGAGACAAAGACTGCATAGAGCAAAATAGGGTTCCGCTTGTGAATTGCCATGGGAAGCTGCAGAGTGGGAAGGGAGAGTGACGAGTTTCCCTTTATATCGTGGTCGTTAAACTTGCTGGTTTTGGGACGGCCGGATGAAAAGATGACATGTGTGGAGGTGGATCATTTGAGCCAATGGATAAACGACGCGTCATTTAGA